GCTCGACGTAAACAACGTATGCTGTTCTGTGTCAGCTGCGTCACACCGGATCTGTGTCCTACGTTGTTGTTATTTGATCTGAACGAAAACGGCGTATCCGTGTGACGCAGCTGACACAGAACAGCATACGCTGTTTATGTCCAGCGGATACTCTCCAAAATGGCACTACAGGGTGGCAGGGTGGTAAGGGGAGGAGACTAATTGTTTAATAAAGTCTTCTTTTTTTTCTTTTGCACACAAAAATTATTCCCGTAGCTTCGTAAAATTACGGATGTCACATGGATTATTTTACAGATCTCCTTGCTACATTTCAGTTGTATTGCTGTCTATGCAGGGTCAGACAGCTCTCAGATTCCATAAAAAATATCTTAATTTGTGTTCCAAAGATGAACGACGGTCTTACAGGTTTGAAACGACATGAGGGTGAGTAATTAATGACAGAATTTTCATTTTTGGGTGAACTAACACTTTAACCTATTTAATCTGCATATAAAACATTAGAAATGAGATATTTGTTTAATTTTTATTTTGTGTTTGACTGTTAAAACTAAAAAATATTTGTTGTTTCTCTCAATAAATTGAGTTAATTTAAAAATGCAGTGGTTAAATGTAAAAAAAAAATTCTATTGCTCTTTGTTTTAAAAAAGGTTATAAAAATGTCAATAATAAACATTATTATAAACAAGAAACATTATATCGTTGATACATTTTTTAGCTATATCGCCCAGCCCTATTAACTAATTTATACATAGCTTAAAAAACAATTCTATTAGTATAACAAGAAAGCTGTTCTGTACCTGGTGTATTGAGAGGTCCTGGTGAAGGTACCTGGAGGGGGTAACTCTGGGGGGTGCGTGAAGATGCAGGACTCTGGGATGGCTGAGGAGAGGGGCTGGGTTGGAAACCTCCAGGAGAAGGGGTTGGACCAGAGCTAGAGCGAAAAAGTTTTAATTAACCTTTTGTAGTTATGTCAATACATAGTAGAAAAACTAAGCTATTTCACTATACCTGACAGAGTTGGGCTGAGAGGAAGGAGGCTGGGGGGATGGCTGAGGCTGGGGGGGAGGTGGCATCGGCTGGGGCGTCTGCACCTGAACTGAGGAGGGTGATGACATCATTTGTTGACCCTTTGTGAAGAAGTTAGGAGAGAGAAAAAATGAAAATGCATTCAAAGTAACCACATGACTGGAGGAAAGCTGGCACTGCACTGGTGAAGCCAGTTACCTAGAGATAACAGACATCCAGTCAAGATCGGCTTGCTCTGACTGTACAGCACCAGTAGATGGCGCTATATAACCAGTAGATGGTTGCTTCCAATTAGCTTCCTAGCACTTTAAGAGAATAGCAAAATCCAGTCCACTTACCTGTGCCACACACTTGTCATTTCAATTTTAAGCTGCCCTAAGTGCTTCTGGGTCATTTCTGACTAAATGTTTCTGATTGTGAAACTAGTTGGGGGGGGGGGATTAAAGAGAGGCAGATGAGTGTGAATTATGGACAGCCTTCGCTCTAGTGTAACCCACTGGGTTGCAGCGCTGAGACCCAGCACTTAGCCCTGCGGTAAATACCTGTGGCATTTGCTGTCCTCCAATGGCAACAGGGTTTTGAGGAATGGCAGAGTTCGGGGTGGCACGGGGCAACCGAGGTGGAATTTGCATCCCAGGACGGGGCATCATCTTTGAGGAGGACAGAGGGGACAACAGACATGTCACAAGCAAAACAATAAATGCAGTGCATCAGCGGACATGAGGAAGCACATGCAAGAATGCAAACAGAACTAGATTCGACAGGTCTGCAAGCACAGATGCACATACAGTCACATTCAATTACGCAACACGAGGCTCTCCAAAAATAAAACAATTTGGCAGTATAGTGAGCTTCCTCTCATTCCTCAAGAATATCCTGGGTTCAATACAACTTCAGCTCAATTGACAGCACTTGTGACATGATGATTACTACTTACAAAAATTCATTTTTGACTTGTCCTTCTCATCTTTAAAAAAAAAAAAATCTGGGGTGCACTTACAACAGAAGTGAATTGGGCCAATCCATTTCAATACTAAAGCCAGATACAAAATATTAATTATTTCACACGAGTGTGAAAAAAAAAAAAATCACTTAACTTTTCTGAGTAAAGTTACACCTAAACGTAACACCTAAAATGACAAGAATAACTTTACAGCTCAAATAACAGACGGAATACATTTAAGTGATTTTACTCAATTATAGGTTTCACATTTTTGCTTTTAAATCCTTCAGAAAATGGCCTCATTTACATTTGCAGTATAAGGCTCACTGTAACTGGTTGTGGTAACCAAAAATGATGCCAATTGAGCTTAAATTGTATTGAACCTCAAATATATTTATTTAACAACACTGGTTGTCAAGACAAGGCAAGCCACAGGCCAATGGATTTCATGCTGTCTTTTCATGTACCACAACCATGCAAGGCAAGAAAAGATGCAATGGGTGCTTCTGCATCTCCAACACGCCTTTTAAATTTCACGAACCGTTGTGACTTCCGTCAGAACTACACAGTCACTGCCTTCAGTCACCACCCCGAGCACCGCCCACCGTCCCACACTCCTTTTGCCAAACCCCCAGACAACCCCCAGACTTGCTCCTAAAATAAAACTCCAGAAAGGTGTACAATATGGGACCTTTAACTGTAAATTAAAGCTGTGGTTGAGCTTGCCATCTACTAATGGCTTTCAGAGGGGTCAAACAATGTGTGGATGCTATTCAACCATCGATATCTTCCTTCAAATACATTCAAGGTATCATTTAAAAGCCCAAAGGACAATATTGGAGTATGTTAGCAATCACTGCAAACTGTCATTTACACAGCGTTTTTTTTAAAGGAATGCATTTCTTGTCAGGTGCATGCAGAAAGTGCTTGTGGGCTCAAAATAGTAAGCATGCAATCAGGCTGTTAGCTGCACATACACGCATAATACAAATGAGATTAAAAACTAAAGCTACTCAAACTTAAACTGGCTGCTCTGCTGGATTTCACAGCTCTGCAATAGAATAGAGATTTCCATCTCTAGATTTAGTCTAAACTATGGCCACACATATGGGACAAGGTGAAGGAAAGCAACATGAAGCAAAATGTTATCTTCCGCCGAATGCTCGCAGATGGGAGGGTCACCCTTGAGGGAGAGATCTGACTAAATGTATTTGAGAAAGTAAGACAGGCAGCTAGTTTAGCTTATATATGGTTAAAAACTGGATGTACTTTATATATACCAGCTAATGGCAAGTGCTAACAAATATAGCAGAAATAGCCTCCAGAATGCATTTGTAGCAAGAAGTGTTGGGCATTTATTCAGTGAGATTACCTGTAGAACTAACTATGCTTTCAGCAGTGAGATTTTTTTGTATCAGAATCAGTACCAACATATACACATATATATATATATACACATATATATATATATATATATATATATATATATATATATATATACACACACACATATATATATATATACACACATATATATATATATATATATATACACACACATATATATATTAGTGCTGTCAAATGATTAATCACGATTAATCAAATCATTAAACAGTACACACTCATGCATTATTTAAACAAAAACTTTTATTTTGGATGCCATTAAATCAGGATTAATTGTTTGACAGAATATATATATATGGGTCAAAAATGAGACATCCCATTTTGATGTCCACATCAAATTTAATTTACAAAACTGATTTTATATACATAGAAATCATATTAAATAAATAAAAGAAAATACTAAATAATAATACTAAAAAATTGTTTTTCAAATGATTAAAACCTTCTTGATAAAAAAACCTAGGGTTAAACCTAGTGGTTTGAAGGGTAGTGGAAAAAATTGGTAAAAATTACAATTCATTAGCTTTTGAAGGCTGCACTGTAATCCTTAAATAGAGAATTTTGATGTCATCTAATGATTCTTTTCCAAAAAATGTCTTTGGTATATGAACTATTGTTACATTTTAGTGGGTGTCTTATATAAATTGTAGTAAAAATGTACAATAGTCATTATTTTTTACCCAGGAAAAAAAATTAAAAATAAAATTGAACACTAGACATTCTAATGTACAGAGAAAAAATAATAATTTAAAGCTGATTGCAATGTATAGTTTTGATGTCTGACCTATATTTTATGTATACTGACCAGAGAACGAGGCTCACTGCTGTGGCCAACAATTAAACCTCGGTTGACAAAAATAATATTGACGTATAATCCTTGTGTTATTATTAGGACATGTGCAGTACACTACGGCCCACCACCAGGCAAGAAATAGAGTTTTGACATTCAAAAGAAATTCAAGTGTTGATTTTGGTAGCATGCAATCACTCCACGCTTAGTCTCTTATCTCAGTCCTCATCACGGCTTGCACTGGGCTTACCTGGCCAGGAACTGCAGCGAGCTGGCCTGCCTGCTGGACCTGTTGAGCCTGCTGTTGTTGCTGCTGCTGTTGTTGCTGCTGCTGTTGTTGTTGTTGTTGTTGCTGCTGCAATACTCTCGCCTGCTTGTATAAACCCAAGCAAACAGGAAGGTATATGAGACACTGAAACTGCCAGGTGCAATATGCATTTCATCTGACTATTTACGATCACATCAACCAAGACGAATGTCAATAATAGGTGTAAAAAGTGTTATTATGAATTTTGCATTATTTGCAGTTTGCAGCTTTACCTGCATTACCTGCTGGAGCTTCAGGTGTTGCTGCTGTTGTTGGCTGAGTGAGCTGATGGGTTGATGCTGTCCGGGAGCCATTTGTGCTAATGACTGGGGCACCATGACTTGCTGCTGCTGCGAATGAGGGGGCATCTGACCTGCCACTCCCTGAGCCTGCACCTGGGCTTGACCTTGAGCTTGGACCTGGGCTTGGACCTGAGCCTGGACCTGGGCTTGAAGCTGCTGTTGCTGCTGCATTTGAGCCTGGGCTTGAGCTTGAGCCTGAGCTTGAGCCTGAGCCTGGGCCTGGGCTTGAGCCTGGGCTTGAGCCTGAGCTTGGGCCTGAGCTTGGGCCTGAGCTTGAGCTTGAGCTTGGGCCTGGGCCTGAGCTTGAGCTTGTGCATGAACCTGTTGTTGGTGCAGTTGCTGCTGCTGCTGCTGTTGCAGTTGCTGCATTTGTGCTAACTGCTGCTGCTGCTGCATTCTTGTTTGGTGCAACTGGAGGCAGAGCCATTAAAACAATATATACTCAATGAGAAATGAAACATCACCAAAGGAACTCAATTAGGGCTGGGTATTGGTACAGATAATAGTAATCGATTAGATTCCAATTCACAAACTCTTGATTCGATTCCGATCTCTCTACTAATACTGTAAACTATACAGGGAATCGTGTCATTTGGTACATTACTATAGTTTTAAAGGTTAAAACTAATAACAGTCTCCAAAATTAATGGGGAATATGTTGAACATCCTGTTTTACAGAATAGGGAAGTTTGTTGCACATAACTTTTATCTCTATTTATATTTAGATATAACCATCAATACTCAAAAACTGAGTTATATAAAAACATGTAAATTGCACATAAGGCAGTACATCAACTTTTTAATGCTAAAATTATTTCTACTGCAGTTTGTTGTTGAAATATAAACATTTAAACAGTGGCTAACATCATTTATTCTACATAATACAGTGCATATATTCAGCAAAATGCTTCTCTCTAGAGCTTTTTCTAGTTGACTATATCGAGTCTATGGACACTGAATGGCTTTCATTGACGTCTTTCTATGTTTAAAACACTGATTGAGTTATTACATGAGACATGATACATTTCAGTAAGTTGTACTGTTTCTTTCAATATATATTCTGATGTTCATTCGTGTTGATTTTCTGTTATAACTTGTAGTAAAGAGGAAAGGATGAGCAGGTGAACTGAGGCAGTTACAGTAATCTGTCATTCCACGTTAAAAAGAGTTTTCATATTCTTTATATGTTTACTTATGAATCCAAAATGAGGATTTGTAAAGAAGAATGTCGGAGGATTTCGATATAAGCCAAGAGGAGACTGGTTTTCCTTTGCTAAAGTAAGGAAACTTTGCTTCCTTTGCTCCTGTAAACAAATGTTGGTTTTCACGAGACTCACCGGCACATGCGCAACGCCGACATCTTACGTCATCCTCCCGAAGCTGCTCCGTGTACAATAGTGAGCGCAAGCTAGATTAAAGTGATTATTACATTTTGAATATGGATATTTTTCTTACAAAAACGCATCGATTCACTATAGGAGGCCTGTGTTCACCCCCCGGAGCAGTGTGAGACACTTTTTTTTTTATGGATGGGCACTTTTTATTTCACTTCATTTGGACTGAAGCACTGCAACACCCACTGACTGCAATGATAGAGCTTGGAATAAGCAGGAGAATTTTTAATATAACTCCGACTGGATTCGTCTGAAAGAAGAAAGACATATACACCTAGGATGACTTGAGGGTAAGTAATTTATGCACTAATTTTCATTTTTGGGTGAACTAACTTTAACCAGCTAATGATGTCATATGTTTGAATAAATTACAAGTTAGCCACCGTTTAAATGGTTATTTCAACAAACAGAAGTAGAAATAGAATTTTATCATCAAAAAGTTGATTTTTTTGTTTTGTACAACTCAAATTTTTTATTTGAGTATTGATGATTATATCTGACAAAGCTCAACTGCAGGTGCACTACAAAAAGTGTTTACTGAAGTTCCATTTACACATCAACAGAAAACAGCATATAAAGTTCATCTGAAAATTGGTTTATCAAAATTAAGATCAATTAAAACTGATTAATCGATATTGTCAACCCAGCCCTAGTTTTCACTGATTATTAGACTATGTCTTAAATGTTTTTTCTCCAAAAGAGGGGAAATTATTTATTGAATTAAATTATTGTGATTAATGATTTAAATATATATAAAATAAGTAGGGCTACACAAGACTTGGAATAAGTTGTACAATTATGACAAATTATTACAGAATTTTCTGTTTTAAGTAATCTAACCCTTTAATTCATAAGACATTCATGCAGTATTCAATGGATCATCACCACCACCATTTAAGTGGAGCAAACATTAATATTTCCATTCTCCATTACCTGGTTCTGTTGTTGCTGCTGAGTCTGGGCCTGCTGCTGTTGTTGATTCTGATGCTGCATTTGTTGATTCTGATGGTGTTGCCTTATCTGTTGGAACTGCATGGCATTCGGCTGCATAGCTGCTGGCTGCTGAGCCTGCATGGCTGCCTGTTGCTGCGACTGAAACTGCTGAAATTGAATGGACTGCTGCTGCTGCTGTTGCATCATCGGCATCTGCCCGGCAGCACCTGCTGAGATTGATATTGCATCACAGGCAATGTATGGGAATTAAAAATAAGATTATTAAACCACAGTTTCTCTAATCAGCTGACAGCTATAGAACTTACCAGCCTGCTGGCCTCCCTGCATGGCATGTTGACCCATTTGCATTTGCCCCAAACCACCCATTTGTGCACCAGGGGGCCGTGGTCCAATGCCAATAACTCCAGGTCCACCTCCACCCACTCCTGGTATACTTTGCAGGGCATTCATAGGGTCTAAAAATAAACAGTAATACCTTGAAATTTGGCAGAAAATGAACACATACAGTTTAATAGTGTATATAAGAAGATCTAAAATAGCACTTTAAATTTACCAGGCCCACCTTGTGATTTTTTATCTGCAATGAAAAACAAACTGATCAATACACAGTACACATACAAACGACACAGCTAAAAGAAAAAAATGTTAACAATGAAAACATAGTATATTGGTTACTTACGAATGTCTCTAAAATGAATTATCAGTCTTGCAACTAAAGACAAATACTCCTCCTGTTGAAAAAAATGATAGTATACTTATTGCACTTTTAACAATCACATACTAACAAATCTTTTCTGTTGGAGTGTAGCATGCATATTTAAAAGAAATACTTACTCTGGTCTTTGCCTTGATAAAAACATGGTTCTCCATGTCAGTACTGGACTTTGTGTGAGCAGTTCCTGCTTTTCTCATAGCTTCATCTCTGCAATATAATAAAGCAGAAGTCTGAATGTTTTATCACAATTGATGCATGACAAACAAGAACTGTTACCTATTGCTAACTGACTATCAATCATTTAAGAAATATCAAGAACATGAGCACTATTAGAAGAGCTGTTTTTTATTTATTTACTGCAACAAAGAAACATTTACTAGTAAAAAATATCAAATATTCTAAGAGAGATTTCAATACATGAATTCCTGAAATTAAGTGTATTGTTATCATAGAAGTATTACTCCATAGAATAGTCTTACAAGTTTTGGCGTTATTCAAATGATTCAAATATATCAACATATTTAGTTGCGTTAATAAATGTAACATGTTGCAATAAAATAATTATAACCTTATAGGTATAGCTCAGTCAAAAGTGAAAATTCTGTCATCATTTACTTACCCTCAGGATGTTGCAAACCTGTATGAATTTCTTTCAGCTGCTGAACACAAAAGAAGATATTTTGAAGAATATTGGTAAACTAACATTTGATAGTAACCACTAGCCACTGACTTCCATAGTATGGAATAAATGGATTTTATAAATGTAACACTATGGAAGTCAATAGCACCGTCAACTGTTTGGCTACCAACATTCTTCAAAATATCTTCTTTAATGTCTGGCAGAAGAAAGAAAAATCATACAGGTTTGAATAAAGTGGAGGCTGGTAAATGACGACAGAACTTTTTGGTATTTTGTTTTCTTTTTGGTATTCAGTATTTTTGGATGAACTATCCATTTAATATGAAAAGTGTCTGTTTTCAAAGTCACCAAAAACACAATTTTGGTGAAATCTTAAATTCCTTTTAAAAATATTAGAACAATCAATTCAAAACACTTGGCAATAAACACAACTCCAAAATAAGTGGCTAATTCTTTCTTCAAAGTGATTACAAAAGGTGCATTTGAGTGACTATTAGAAGAGTTCATGAGCCTTAAGTAATAAATCACAAGACAAATTAATTATCTTAAAGGTTGTCTTCTTTTGCCCACGACATGTTAAACAATATTTATATCAGCAGACTGTTTCGCTTGTACATATTTTGACTAATATTTAATGAGGCTAACTTTATATTAGCTAGCCGAATAGCTAAACAAGCTCAAAACAACATTAAAAAAATGTCATCTCATTTAATTAACAAAATACAGTGATTAGATTGATACCATATATAAATACACATACAGTCTATCATTGAAGATTTCGACTGTACTTAACAGATGAGCTGATAACACGTCCGAGCATCCGCTAGTTAGCAGCTAACTAGCTAGCTGCCCTCTGTTATTTCCAGAATGCGCTAATATAAAACATACAAAACAAATATTTGTATACTCACATTTGGGCCACTACTTTCTGTCGAAAGGCTGGACTCCTCCAATCACTATCAGGACCGGTGACCTCCATAACTGATAATGCTGAACAACGTTGAACAAGCTGTTTCCAGATTGAGTTAGCGTCTAGCGATGTCCGAATCGTGAATGTATCACTTTACTGAGTCGAATCTTTTCAATGAATCAGTTGATGCCGCTCACAAAACTGAACGATTCGCTCGAGAATCGTACTGTAACCGAACGATCGATTCTCGAGTCAATTCATGAATAGAAGAAATATTATAAAAAAAACAATGGAATGGAAATATCATTAATTAATTGTTTATCAGTTTTATTAAACACACAGCAGAGCCCGCTGTAAAAACTGTATTTTATTAAACGCTACTTAAGGTAGAGATAGGCCACAAATGAATTAACGTTAGTTTTTGTTATGTAAATGCAAATTATGTAGGTAAATATTGATCTGAGCTGGCTGCAACAATGTGAACTAGTACACAATAAATGTCAATAAACACTCTTTAAAGAAAACAATAAAAAACAGCAATATTCGATTGTCTTAAAGGCACAATATGTAATTTTCGCCGCTAGAGGGCGAATATTCAAAATAAACAAAGAGGCAACGGCGTAGTTTGATGACGCTATGACTGAGAGTAGAATCATGGGAGTTGTCGTCTTCATCATAGACATAATAAATACCTAGACGCCTCATTGGCCGCTCGACCGCACGTCAACGTCGCCGCCATATTGGTGCGGGCAACTGTCATATCGGGACAGGCGAAAACATACCTGACTCGTCGGCAGCTTGGGCATCTACAAACCGTCGCACAATAATAAAAACAGATCTCGGGGTATTATCTTTCACAGGTAAGACTGAACAGTTGTTTCTGTATGTTTTTTGGTCATTTTTAGCTTTATGTTAGATTGAAGATTGAAACCATGGAAGTTGATTTAGAATTACATAAAATCAAAACGATAAACAATAGTATAGACCTTGTAGCTGAATACTACAGATATGTGGATGATAAATACAGAGACTATATTCAAATTTATACAGATAGGTCGAAAGATCCTGAAACAGGAAGGACTGGATCAGCAATTTTTATAGTTAATCAAGGAGGTGAGGAAAGCAAACGAACCGCGAATGATCTGAATGTGTATTGTATGCTATCATGATGGCATTAGAATGGATTAGAAAGGAGGACAAAATGAGTAAAGTTTTAATTGGAAGTGATTCATTGTCAGCACTGTACAGTCTCAGGACAGGTATGTCCAATAGCCGTCAGGACATGTTATATACAATATTAACAACATATACAAGAGTAAAGGAAAAATGTAATGAGATACGACTGATTTGGACTGACTGATTTTTAGAAGAAATAGTGATGACAAGATTAAGAATAGGATACAGTCATTTAAATAGTACATTACACGTTATAGGGAAGCATCCTACTGGTTTTTGTGAATATTGTCAGACATTAGAAACCATAGAACATGTTCTTTTACGTTGCAGAAGTTATGAAGATCAGAGGAGAAATATGATGGAAGAATTAAGAAGAGATGGGTTGGTAGGGACAGGTATTAAAGATATACTGCAAAGTGGGGTGATTAGACAAAGCAGGAAAAATATTTGTAATTTCTTAATTAGAACGGATTTGATGAGGAAAATATGATTGTGGAAAACAAGCTGGAGGAAATAAACTGGAATAACATCGCAGGAGAATGGTCCAGAAGATGGCGGTAATGCAACGCTCTCGGATGCAAGCCGCCGTTAAACCTCAAAGAAGAAGAAGGTGACGTGATTGCCATGAAACGGTTCTTTGAACTGTTCGAAAAAATCGATTCGCGGAAATGTGTCTGGCTTCCTTAAAGCAAAACATCTTAAGGCTAAAAGTAGTTTATAACTCACCGATTTAGGAGAAAATCTTAAAAAATAATGAGCGTGTCAGTCCTAAATTTGGGACTCCTACATTTTTGCTCTGAGTATTTCACAAAGCATTTTAGCACTAAAACTAGCTCCTAAATCTGTGAAACGTAGTGAAGAGGACTCCTAAATCACTAAAACCACGCCACAAACTATCAAAATGGCTGTTGTCAGCAATCTGCCTCGGAACGTAAACATTTTAGAAACATTTGATGATAATGATCTTTTAAAAAGGTATCGCCTTTGGTTTTGGAGGATATCCCTACTCCAACTTTTCCTTTGATTATATCCTTGTTTTCATTTACCAGTTGGGCAAGAAATAACAGCTCTTCTTGCATCCAGTTTGGTTTTCTTTTATGTTTGCATGTCTTACTATTAGCCATGATTATTCTACTCTGTTAACTAACAGACTGTTTATATGCATATTCACCAATTGTTTACGAGAATACATGTAAGAGGCTGACAATTAGCTGAACATACTTGTTTAATTGATTAATTTATTTAATTTCACTTAGCCTGCGTTTTAATCTCTTGATTTGAATGTGGCAATTAACATTTTTATTTTTAAATCTTTATTTGAATATGGCAACATGATATTGGGCTCTAAAATAATCTCTGACAGAGGCTATCAGCCAATCACTGTGTGCATAGTTAGTGAGCATGCTGAGATCATCCATAGCAACGGAGGTCAACCCTGCCCTTACAGCTTAAGACTTTTCTCTATTCCTTAGTAAAAGTTTTGTCTCAGCAGCTTTGTGAATAGGTTTTAAGGGAAAACTCTTAGCTAAAACCTTTTTCTGCTATTTAGGAGAACTCTTAGTGGTAAAATAAAATGTTTTGTGAATATGGCCCTGAGTTTATACAGCTTGGACTTGGAAATTATGGATAAAATGATGATATGGTCAAAATCATCACTTGCCTAATAATTGTGCACACAGTGTATATACACACATATACACCCACATGTACACACACACACACATATGCATTTTTTTTCAGGTAATTGTATTGCACAGTGAAGTCTTTTGACGAAAATAATTAGATTCACTTTACTGCACCGTTGTATGACTAATAAAACTTTACATAGATGGTTTATATTACATTATTTGTAGCCCCTAAATTAAAGCTTGTTCTCACCATAACCAGTGGCATGTGTCAGATTATATATCCCTATTTTAAGTCATGGTTAAAGATTATTTTGATTTCTTCATTAATTAATCTGTGTTGATTTAGTATCACTGAGATTATAGTTTTATTATTATTTTGATTTAGTTTTCATCTCTGTATATTCTGTTTTTATTTTATTTTTAGTGACAATTTTACAAATTTTATTGTGTTTTGTCATTTTATTTTATTTTTTAATGTAGTTTTTATTATTTTTCATTATATTTTATATTCAAGTAACAAATATTTGGTACAATTGCACAATTTGGTTCCAAAATAGTTAATCACTGAATTACTGACTTTTATTTTCGTTTTCAGATAAGTGTAAGCAGTAAGCACTGGGGTGTGGTTATTATGCAGACAAGCCATGGGTGACATGTGAAATTAAAAACAATTTCCTTACGCATTTTTCACACATTGGTTGAAAGTTGGCTTCTTGCCGAAAGTTCACTGTATTTTTATTACTGTAGTATTATTCTTTTGTCATTTGGTGGCCATGATCAGTAATGCTGAATGTTAATAGCAGGCAATTGCCCATTCAAATCCTTCTTGATGACAAAATTTGAATAGCATGTCAGTTAGGCTACCCCTTATTGCATCAGGGCCCTGTAACATTTGTTGACAATGTTTACTTTAGGACTCAAAAACAAGTTGTGTGACATACACTACATTTTGGCCATTCTTGACAAAACGCTGCAATTTTAAGTGAGCAGAATTTGCCAAGGATACTGATGGTATATGATATCAATAACTAACTTATTTTTTTTTGCATTGATGTTTGTTCTTGCCTGAACAATGAGCACATCTTTGTAAAGGATGTGATGTAATAAAGCGGTATAACAGTGTCAGAGTGTGACTACTGATGATTCAGTATCCTCTGGTTTTGAAAGGAATTTAGATGCACTAAGATTCAGTGTGTGTGTGTAATATTCAGAAATGTGTGCGTTAATTCATGCAAAAGCAGTTTTTATAGGACCTTAACCTGCAGGTTCACTAGTTTTAAGGCATTTTTGGCTTTGTTTGATCTTAGACACTTCTGGCAAGCAACAGTTCATAAAAGCTTTGTGCCTTCTGACCTACTTTTTGTACACTTGGGGGGTGTGTGTGTGTGTGTGTGTGTGTGTGTGTGTGTGTGTGTGTGTGTGTGTGTGTGTGTGTGTGTG